TATTTGAACTCAGAGGTCTTGAGTTTTCCCCTTGCAATTGTATAAAATTGATGTAAAGCCACTGTGCGCTAATAACAGATGCTGACTAAAGTTCAGAGTTCAAATTTCTGTGTTCAATATTAATATGACCTATTTGGCCCTTCAGGCATCTATAATTCAGCCAAGTTATAGTGGACTAAAATTCAAAAAGAAACCACTTTCCACGCCTGGCTCAAATTCTGTGCTAACAGAAAATTTGCTGGAATTTCCGTTGTGTCACACATATCCTGTGGGACTTTCCCTGTGAAATCTATTTTTCATTAAGAATGTATCACAAGGCAGAAAATATAATCCTAGCTTGTTAGGCTACTTTTTTAGTCTGTTACCTTACACATGGATTTCATTAGTACAGTAAATAATGTAAAGGTCTCCTTGCACAAAGACCTCCGGCGGATACAAACATCCATGACTGCTCAAATCTCGTTATATACAACGGCATAGCAAAACGGTGTCCTGGATATAAAATAGCAAAATCAAGGTTTGCTTTTCACTTAAAAAAAAACATGTTCAAGCTATGGATGATTGAATTCCTCAGATACAGAATCTGTGGCTATGGAGGTCCAATTGTATAACTGTTCAGGCTCAGATGTATCTTTGGAAGTGAATGAGATAGAAAGTCATATCTAACAGAACTGAAATAATGGTTTCAGATTGGATGGGCCTCTATGTGTGTGCCTTCAAGTCACCTGTTGGACTTATAGTGCCCCATGAAATTAATAGGGGCTTTCTTAACAGTCAGAAGTGTTTCTTGCCTAAGACAATGCAAGCATATTAAACTTAAGTGAACATTTTGTAGCTTGTATATTTTCCTATTTTAATTGTATAGTGAGAATATGGACGAACTGAATGATTGTGCCTACACACTCCCCAGGTCTTACTGAAAGACATATAGCCACTAATACTGTAGAGCCATTTAAGGCATTATTAACACCTTAAATCAAGAAATAGCTTTCTAAGATCTACAGAGATACTCACATGAACACCTCAGCAAGCAAGAGACCAAAAGTGGCAGGTTAAAACCCGGAACCTCAAACCATGGCTGATACTGGATGAGAAACTCCCTTCTGGGAGTCTCTCTTTTCTTCTTTCTTGTGGGGTTTTCTTCTACTTTTTCTAAAGTCTTTTATTGTGGGAGACCCTTTTTGTGGCATCGGGGCCCCTTCTACATCTATATAAAAATGTAATGTTCGTTTGTGGGATTAACATAACTCAAAAACCACTGGACGAATTGACACCAAAATTGGACACAATACACCTATCAGGCCAACGAGTGACCATTACTCATAAAAACACTGAAAAACACAGCAGAAGAGAATTAAAAAGCCAGAGGAGGCTGAAGGTCTTGCAAATCTATTATTATTATTATTATTATTATTATTATTATTATTATTATGTTTATTTATACCCTGCCTTTTCCTTCCAAAAGGAGACTCAAATTTATTGTTGTTGTTATGTTTATTTATACCACATTTTTCTCTCCACAACAGACTCAATTTATTATTGTTGTTATTATTGTTTATTTATACCTCGCTTTTTCTCTCCACAAAGAGATTCAATAAGCTTACATAAAAAGTATTTCAATACAGTTAACATCTACAAATATACAGACATTAAAGCAGAATTAAATATCACTGGTATTTTAAAAAAAATCAGTTAAAATCCATTCTCTTCATAGAGAATAGAACAACTTAAATCCAGTTTCTGCCTCCTGAAGAATTCTGAGGTTGTACATTAGGGAGGGGCCTTTAAGCAACTCAGCCAGACAGGTCTTGGGCCTCCCTAAACTACAAATCCCAGAATTCTGCAGGAAGCAGAAACCGGATTAAAGTAGATCCATACTCTAGTGTGATGAGGCTGTTAACTAATCTACAACTCCTATGAGTCCTTAGCATGGGGTGCACCTAGAATCTCTGCAGTTTGACACCCCTTTAACTTCCATGGATCAATGCTATGGGATTGTGGGGGTTGTAGTTTGGTGAGGCCAGAGCACTCTTGGGAAGAGACGTCTGAAGACCTTGCAAATCTTCAACTCCTATGAGTTTATAATGTGGGGCACACTTAGAATCCCTGCAGTTTAACCACCATGTCTCACTGCTTTGGAATGATGGGAGTTGTAGTTTAGTGAGGCCCCAGCCCTCTTGAGCAGAGAACTTTGAAGACTTTGCAAATCGACAAGACCTATGAGTTTATAGCATGGGGTGCATCTAGAATCCCTGCAGTTTAACCTGGCATGGCTCAACGTTATGGGATTGTGGGAGTTGTAGTTTGGTGAGGCCCCAGTACTCTTGGACAGAGAAGTCCTTGCAAATCTACAACTCCTATGAGAGTGCACTTAAATCTCTGAAGTTTAACTTGCATGGCTCAATGCAATAGAATTGTAGGAGCTGTAGTTTGGTGTGGACCCAGCACTCTTGGACAGAGAAGTCCTTGCAAATCTACAAGTCCTATGAGGGGGCATCTAGAATCACTGCAGCTTAACTTGCATGGCTCAATGCTTTGGAATGATGGGAGTTGTACTTTGGTGAGGCCCCAGCACTCCTGAGCAGAGAACTCCTTGCAAATCTACAACTCTTATGATGGTGCACTTAGAATCTTTGCCGTTTAACTGCCATGGCTCAATGCTATGGGATTGTAGGAGTTGCAATTTGGTGAGGCCCCAGCACTCTTGAGCTGAGAACTTCGAAGACCTTGCAAATCTACAACTCCTATGAAGGTGCACTTCGAATCCCTGCAGTTTAATTGGCATGGCTCAATGCTATTATTATTTATTATTTACGGTATTTTTATCCCACCCTTCTCAAGCCCAAAGGCAACTCAAGGCGGTTTACAGATTGGCAGCTATTCGATGCCATAACAGTCCACAATACACAGTTAAAACATTTGAAACACTATAAAACAATATAAAAACCAACTTACTTGTCTGGATGCATCTCCCCTTGTGAACCCTCCAGGATTTTAAGATCGTCAGGGGAGGCCCTGCTCTTGATCCTGCCTTTGTCACAAGGATGCCCGGCGGGGATGAGAGACAGGGCCTTCTCAGTGGTGGCTCCTTGGCTATGGAACGCCCTCCCTAGGGGTATTAGATAGGCCCCCTCCCTCTTAACACTCTGAAAGAAGGTCAAGATTTGGCTTTTTGAGCAAGCGTTTGCAGATACAATATAACAGACGTGGAGAAAAAATGGAACGACTCAATGACGGTATTGGATAATGCTTTTAACTAGGAGACTCAAATCGATATATGTTTTTATTGATATTGTTTTATTTGTTTTTATATTTAAATTGTATTTTACGCTTTTGATGCTGACGGTAAACCGCCCTAAGTCGCCTGTGGTATATAAATGTAGTAAATAAATAAATACATAAATAAAACCATCTCTCTCTACACGTGCATAGCACAAACATGAACAAAAATGTAATAGTATCCAAAAGTCCTAGGCTCAGCCGTCCAAAGGATTTGGACCCTTTAAGAGCTTCCTGGTCTCTGTGGCAGAAACAGTCCAGAAGGTAAGAGCTTCTTGGGATTGTGGGGGTTGTAGTTTGGTGAGGTCCCAGCACTCTTGAGCAGAGAAGTCCTTGCAAATCTACAACTCCAATGAGAGTGCACTTAAATCCCTGCAGTTTAACTGGCATGGCTCAATGCTATGGGATTGTGGGAGTTGTAGTTTGGTGAGGCCCCAGCACTCTTGAGCAGGGAAATCTGAAGACCTTGCAAATCTACAACTCCTATGAAGGTGCACTTAGAATCCTTGCGGTTTAACTGGCATGGCTCAATACTATGGGATTGTGGGAGTTGTAGTTTGGTGAGGAGGCCAAGCACTCTTGAGCAGAGAAGTCCGAAGACCTTGCAAATGTACAACTCCTATGAGTTTATAGCATGGGGTGCATCTAGAATCTCTGCAGTTTAACTGGCATGGGTCGACGTTATGGGATTGTGGGAGTTGTAGTTTGGTGAGGCCCCAGTACTCTTGGACAGAGAAGTCCTTGCAAATCTACAGCTCCTATGAGAATGCACTTAAATCCCTACAGTTTAACTGCCATGGCTCAATGCTATTATTATTTATTATTTACAGTATTTTTTATCCCGCCCTTCTCAAACCCAAAGGCAACTCAAGCTGGTTAACAGATTGGCAGCCAGTCCACGATATACAGTTAAAACATTTAAAACATTATAAAACAATGTAAAAACCATTAAAACCATCTCTCTCTGCATGTGCATCGCTCAAGCCTGAACAAAAATGTAATCGTATCCAAAAGTCCCAGGCTCAGCCATTCAATAGATTTGAACCCTTTAAGAGCTTCATGGTCTCAGTGGCAGAAACAGTCCAGAAGTTAAGAGCTTTTTACTTGGGATTGTAGTTTGGTGAGGCCCCAGGACTCTTAAACTGAGAACTCTGAAGACCTTGCAAATCTACAACTCCTAGGATAATGTACTTAGAAAGAATCCCTCCAATTAACTGGCATGGCTCAATGCTTTGGAATGGTGGGAGTTGTAGTTTGGTGAGGTCCTAGGTCTCTTAAACTGAGAACTCTGAAGACCTTGCAAATATACAACTCCTAGGATAATGCACTTAGAAAGAATCCCTCCAGTTTAACTGGCATGGCTCAATGTTATGGGATTGAGGGAGCTGTAGTTTGGTGAGGCGCCCAGCCGTCTTGGGCAGAGTAGTCTGAAGAGCGTGTAAAACTACGACTCCCATGATCCCATAGCATTGCTCCATGGCAGTGCAAGTGGGGGGGTCAAAACTGCAGTAGAGAGTTGCAAATATTGGATTCCAGGCTCAACTTTTCCCAAAGTTTTCTCTCTCTCTGGGCCTTTCCCTCCCCTGCCACCTTCTCTTTCCGCAGCGGCGCAGAAAGGGTTAACGCTCAGGAATGCGCCTGCGGGCCAAGGAGGAATGCGTATGCAGATGAGATGGATGCTAATCTCATGCAAATGAGCCCCCGCTGCCGCGCGCCGCTGCCGCCGCGCGCCGCTCGGGGCTGAGCCGGGTTCCTCCAGCGCCTTGGCCCGTTCCCTCCTCCCCTGCCTGCTTCCCTGCCTGCCTCCCGCCTGGGCCTGGCACCGGGAGCTCGCCTTTGCCGGGACCCCCAAAGGGAAAAGGAGGCGGACCAAGGCGGAGAAGGGGAGGGGGGTCCCGATCTCAGCCATGGCGGGCTGAAAGGCGCAAAGGGGAGAGTTTTCTGCCCGGCCGCAGGCGAGGAAAAGAGTCCTTGCAGTAGCAACAGCAGTAGCAGCAACAGCAGCGCCTTCTTTCTTCTTGGCTTTCCCGCCCCGATGGAGCCAGGGCTGCCCCCCGGCCATGCCTAGGGACGCCGGGGACGGGCAGCTGCCCTTGCCCGACGGCTGGGAGGAGGCCCGCGACTACGACGGAAAGGTCTTCTTCATCGACCACAACACCAAGCAGACCAGCTGGATCGACCCCCGGGACAGGTGGGTGCGCGAGAGTGGCAGGAGGAAAAGTGGCCAAGGAAAGCACCCCCCCTTCCTCCAAGCAGAAGTGGTTTGGCCATCTGTCGGGAGTGTTTTGGTTGTGTCTTGAGTGCAACTCTTATATAGGAGTCAACCATGCTATTCCATTTTGAGTTGCAGGAGGAAAAGTTGCAAAGAAAAGCCCCCCCCCCTTCAAAAGTGGAGTCTCTCCAAGCAGAAGTGGGTTGGCCATCTGTCGGGAGTGTTTTGGTTGTGTTTTGAGTGCAGCTCTTATATATGAGTCAACCATGCTATTCCATTTTGAGTTGCAGGAGGAAAAGTTGGAAAGGAAAGCCCCCCCCCCCTCAAAAGTGGAGCCTTTCCAAGCAGAAGTGGTTTGGCCATCTGTCGGGAGTGTTTTGGTTGTGTTTGGAGTGCAACTCTTATATATGAGTCAATCATGGTATCCCATTTTGAGTTGCAGGAGGAAAAGTTGCAAAGGAAAGCCCCCCCCCCCCTCAGAATTTGAATCTCTCCAAGCAGAAGTGGTTTGGTCATCTGTTGGGAGTGTTTTGGTTGCGTTTTGAGTGCATGTCAGCGCTGGGTGGGCCCTTGCCGCCCCTTCCAACTCTCAACCATGCTATGATTCCATTTTGCACTTCTGCAAAACTTATTATTGTTATTATCATCATTATCATCATCATTATTATTATTTAGATACAGGCTCTCCTTGCACCCCATGACAAGCTTTCTAACGCCACACCTGTATTAAAATCCACATTGAACTGGATTATATGGCAGTGTAGACTCAGGGCCCTTCCACACAGCCCTCTATCCCAGAATATCAAAGTAGAAAATCCCACAATATCTGCTTTGAACTGGGTTATCTGAGTCCACACTCCTATAATGTGCAATTTTCTGCCTTGATATTCTGGGATATAGGTCAGGCCCTAGGTAAAGGTAAAAGTTTTACCCTGACATTAAGTCTAGTCGGTAACCAGCACCAAAAGACATGATACACGAGCATGTATCTAAATAATATTAATAATAATAATAATAATAATCTGCTTTTTCTCTCCACAAGGGAGACTCAAAGCGGATTCCATTAAAAGTATTTCAATACAAAACGATACAATTTTCCCAGACATTCTTCTCTTAAAATAACTACAGGCAATGCCCAAGTTATGAACAAAATAGGTTCTGTAGGTTTGTTCTTAAGTTAAATGTATTTGTAAGTTGGAACAGGTACATTTTTAAGTGTAACTCCAGCCACATATATAATTATATTAGCTTTGGATAGCATAAAAGGTAAAGGTTTTCTCCTGACATTAAGTCTAGTCGTGTCCAACTCTGGGGGTTGGTGCTCATCTCCATTTCTAAGCTGAAGAGCCGGCGTTGTCCGTAGACACCTCCAAGGGCATGTGACCGGCATGACTGCATGGAGTGCCGTTACCTTCCCTCCGAAGTGGTACCTATTGATCTACTCACATTTGCATATTTTCAAACTGCTAGGTTGGCAGAAGCTTGGGCTGACAGCGGAAGCTCACACCACTCCTCGGAATCGAACCTGCAACCTTTCGGTTGCAGACCTTAGTTTGAGGACCCCTGATGATCTGGCTACGTGGACTCATATAATCCAGTTTCAAAGCAGAAAACCTGGGATCAGATCCTGGGATGTGAATAAAATCTGAATAAAATCCCACATTATCTGCTTTGAACTGGAATATATGGCAGTGTGGACTCAAATAACTCAGTTTAAAGCAGATATTGTAGGATTTGCTGCTTTGATATTCTGGGTTATATGACTGTGTGGAAGGACCCTGTGTGGAAGGGTCCTCAGGTCCTTTCCACACAGCTGAATAAAACTATACATTATCTACAATATATAGGAATGATACAATAAAAGATATTATTTTGGCATGCCTCTCACAGACCATGATGAAAACCAAAAGAAGCCTTTTCTTAGTAGTGTGATTTTCCTAGTAGTGTAACATAAACAATAACAAAGTTTAACGAACAAGTTGACTTCCACGTTTACAAAAATGTTTCAGTACACTCTTACATTGACTGACAGTAACCACTCCAGCTGTACTAAAGCCCCTTCCACACAGCTGTATAAAATCCACATTGAACTGGATTATATGACAGGGTGGACTCTGATAACCCAGTTCAAAGCAGATATTGTGAGGTTGTTATTATTATTATTATTATTATTTTCTGCTTTAATATTCTAGTGCCCCTTCTACACAACTGTATAACGTCCACATTGAACTAGATTATATGGCTGTGTGGAAGGGCCCTTAGAAATTGGATTATCTGGCAGTGTAGATCCAGCCTTTGAAGGTCTGCTTTCCTAGATAGAGTCCAGGCATGGTAGTGTTTCTGTTGTCACCAGGGCTGGATCTACACTCTATGAACTGTATATGTCAGTGTAGAGTTCCCATGCAATGCAGTTCACACTGTGGGCCGTTCCGCACAGCCCTATATCCCAGAATATCAAGGCAGGAAATCCCACATTAACTGAGTGCAGACTCAGATAACCCAGGGCCCTTCCGCACAGCCCTATATCCCAGAATATCAAGACAGGAAATCCCACAGTAACTGAGTGTGGACTCAGATAACCCAGGGCCCTTCTGCACAGCCCCATATCCCAGAATATCAAGGCAGAAAATCCTACAGTATCTGCTTTGAACTGGGTTATCTGAGTCCACACTCAGATAATGTGGGATTTTCTGCCTTGATATTCTGGGATATAGGGCTATGTGGAAGGGCTCTGAGGAGGCTGGAGATGGAAAAAAAAAACCAAGGAGTATTTGCAAAGGAAGTGGCAACTAGTATCCTTCCTCTCCTTTATTTAATGCCCATAGTATATTGAGTCCCACCCCCAATTCATAAATTTCCAACTTGTCTCTAATCCAAACTTCAGTCACAACTTTTAAAATGTGCACAGACAGAAAGAAATCCCATCAGTTTTAAAACTAGAAGGAGCCTCCGAAGACTTTGCATTAGGCTTGTGTTTCTCTCTTTCAAAACAGCTGGAGATCCATAAGCACTAGGGATTCTGCTTTTAAAAAAGCGATAATTTCTGCTCAAATCGTATTTTCATTTCCTAGTCCAGAACTTTTTTTTTTTTGGAACCGTCTTTCTCAGGAAGAAGCTGGACTCGGCAAAGATAAATACACAAGCAGTTTACTGAAGTCTGTTTTTGGAACTGCAGGTCTGGCATGCAGTCGGCATGAATTTTTTCTTTCTCCTGAAACTTTGGATTGTGGAAACAAACAGACTACTGTACATTGCCTTGTTCGAGGCCCCTGATCTTTCGCTTTTTCTCCATCCCACATCTTATCTATCTATCTGTCTATCTATCTATCTATCTATCTATCTATCTATCTATCTATCTATCTATGCAAGGTGGAGTTGTTTAGGTTTGTTAGGAAGGTGAAGGAAGTGGTCTCAGGCCTCATGTTTGAGCTTTTGGAAGTAGGCCTCAACTGAGTTCTTTCATCTCTTCCTCTAGATCAGGGGTCCTCAAACTAAGGCCCAGGGGCCGGATACGGTCCTCCAAGATTTACCTGGCCCTGGCTCAGGGTCAACCTAAGTCTGAAAAGACTTGAAAGCACACAGCAACAACAACAATAATCCTACCTCATCAGCCCAAAGCAGGCCCACACTTCCCATTGAAATACTAATAAGTTTGTATTAACAATTTGTTAAAATTGTTCTTCATTTTAATTATTGTATTGTTTTGAAGTGTTTTTGCACTACAAATACAACGAGTGCAATGTGCATAGGAATTCATTCATGGTTTTTTCAAATTATAATCCAGCCCTCCAACAGTTTGAGTGACTGTGACCTGGCCCTCTGTTAAAAAAGTTTGAGGACCCCTGCTCAAGATTGTAGATTCTCCCCTATTTTTCCTAATCCTCTGAGACAAATTAAAAATAAATAGCTGGGAAACGGTAGAAAAGTTCGTTGTGGAAGGCTTTCATGGCGGAATCACTGGGTTTCTGTGAATTTTCCAGGTTGTATGGCCATGTTCCAGAAGCATTATCTCCTGACATTTCACCCACATTTATGGCAGGTATCCTCAGAGGTTGTGAGGTGTTTTAGAAACTGGGCAAGTGGGGTTTATATATCTGTGGAATGTCCATGGTGGAAGAAAGAACTATTGTCTGCTTAAGGCAAATGTGAATGTTGCAGTTGGTCACCTTGATTAGCATTTAATGGTACTGAAGCTTCCAAGTATGGTTATTTACTGCCTGGGGGAATCCTTTGTTGGACGGTGAAAGCTGGCTCTGATTGATTGTCTGGAATTCCGCTGTTTTTTGTTTATGTTGCTCTTTATTTACTGTCCTGATTTTAGAGTTTTTAAACATACTGATAGCCAGATTTTGTTCATTTTCATGGTTTCCTCCGTTCTGTTGCAATTGTCCACATGCTTGTGAATTGCAATGGCTTCTCTGTGTAGTCTGACATGGTGGTTGTTAGAGTGGTCCAGTATTTCTGCATTCTCAAACAATATGCTATGTCCAGGTTGGTTCATCAGGTGCTCTGCTATGGCTGACTTCTCTAGTTCACTTAGACTGCAGTGCCTTTCATGTTTCTCGATTTGTGTTTGGACAATGTTGTGTTTGGTGGTCCCTATGAAGACTCATGCACAGTAGACTCCTGCAAAAGTGAGAGGATCCCTCTTGTCCTTTGCTAAATGTAGCATTTGTTGGATTTTCTTAGTGAGTCTGCAGATAGTTTGTAGGTTGTGAACACAAAAATGCTGGACCACTTTGACAACCACCATGTCAGACTTGTTTTGTGATAGGACTTTCATAACTTATTCCTACTTTTGGATATACTTGATTTTCAATTTGGTCCAGGTTTTCCAAAATCTGCAAGGATCCAAAATACTTCTACTCCTTCAGCATAAGGGATATTTAACTTGTATATATGAAATTATTATTATTATTATTATTATTATTATTATTATTATTATTATATCTCAAATAATGTTGAGATCCCATCTTAAC